CTAATTGTCAAGAGGAAAATTAAACTTCCCAATTTTCTATTTATAGTTTTATTTTTATTTTGCTATAGAGCATGTGTGTTCATCAGACGGAAATGGGAGGGTGGGAGGGGAAAACAGGGAAAGTGAGAAATCACCTCTCAGCACGGAGGGCCACACTGCAATCCCTTCTCCATTCTTCTCTCAAGTTTTTGAGCCTGTGTACCTGGCAAATTACTAAAGCTGCTGGGTCCACGATTTGAACCATGCAATTGGCCATGTGGAATCCAGCACCTTAACCACCACACCACTGGCTCGTCCAAGCGTCTCATATTTTTAAAAGTTTATTTATTTGGGGACCAGCAGATGACATAATGGTTACATAGCTGGATTCCCATAGAGTGGACCATGGTTCTAGTCTCACACCCGGCAAATTAAAACTCACACCAGGTGCGTGTGTGTGTGTGTGTGCTGAAAATTCTGAAAGGAGAATGGAGAAGAAGGAATTATGGTGTGGCCATCCTTCGGGGGAGGGGCGGGCAATTTTTCACTTTCTGTCTGTCTGTTCTGTCTATCTAGCAAATGTACATGTCCTATAGCAAAAATCTTTCTCTAAAAAAAGAATTTATTATTTCTTCAGAGAGATACCCCAACAGGGTCTTCGTACCATGATCCACCCTTAGCGTCAACTGAACTGCATCATGGGAACATCCCCCCCCCCACGCACACACATTCTCTCTCTCTCTGTCTCCTGTCTAGCCCTTACATTTAATTTTTATTTGTCCTGTACACTGTCAGTTGAAGAGGTCATCTTAGAGACTTTAGCTGGGGTTCTTCACATTTCTGTGGCCAGTTTGCTGCTGGCTGATCTAGGACAGCCTCAGCTGAAAAGGCGGGGGTGCCAGGGGACATCAGCGAGTCCTGTCCTCCAGCGCCACGCCAAGCCCCACCCCATGGAAATGGCAGAGGGAGAAACCAAGGGGGCAGCACTTTCCCAGCCTCTGCTATAGGCACTGAGCTGCTCCCTCATTGGCCACATCTGGTCACATGACCGAGCCCAGCCACAGAGTAAGGCGCTGAGAAGTTCTGGGCAGAGGAAGGGCTAGATGGAAAGAAAGGGAACAGGGGCATTTTAATAATTAATTTATCATAGATTGGGCAAAATGATGGATTCAACTATGGAACTTTGATACATGAAGAATCATGCAGAGATAACCCAGAGGAATGTAGATATACGGGACAGGAAATTTAGAGACAGGGACGTCTCTAAAGTTAATAGAATTTGGAGATCATTTATAAAGATGGGTCTGGAACAGACGCTGGGAGGGTGTGGGGTCAGAGGAGCAGAGATATAAAGACAGGACCGGGGACCAAATTCCTCCTCCTGTGTCTCTGGACCTCGGTCTTTCCACCCGCCTGGTTGGGGAG